GCACTTCGGGAATGAGGATCAAAACAGTGTCTTTTGTGTCTGAATTGTAGCAGCAAATGTTTTAGATTACATTTGCCCCTTCTTCTGAAAAATAAATGACTTCTATTAAAAAAACTGCCCGTCATATTTTATACTGCACATTTTTTGGGGGAATGACAGTAGTGTGCTTCCCACACTTTCACACATCTGCGCCTTTCCCGAGGTTCCATGGGTTACCTCATTTGGATACATTCTGCTCTTGTCTCGCCCAGAAAGTTTCCACTTTGGAGAAGTAGGACAGTCAGAAGTCCAAATTCTCTATAGATGGTCTGATGAAATGTCGGGAGACATGAAGCGACAATTTCATTTAGACCATAAATGCATATGCCATCACAAGCATACACGGAGCGTTTTAAGGATTTACTCGCGCAGCCGGCGACATTCATTGAAGTACTTCTCATGCTCCCAAAAGTCGACTTACGTATGCATAGGCTATCAACAGTTAACAAAATCACCTGCATTCATTTGATAACAATGCCAAATTAGCAAACATGGAGGCTCTCACATTATGGCAAACAACCAAATGTATATACGTCTATAACATTGTAGAAAGATCATGGTAGAGGGCGCTCACCGATCGTTCTAACGAAACCCACTCGTTCCATTGTGCCTTAGGGGGCTCTTTCTCGTGCGCAACCTGCGGCCGCACAGCGGCGCATGATATAGGATAAAGAGATGTTACTGACAAAAACAAGGGAGACTGCTATGGCCATTTCTGACTTATAAGCCGTATTTAGCCGGTCATATGCAACTCCAAAGAGTGAAACACCAGAGGCTCGAACTCGCAACCTGTTAGTTAGAAGTCGAATCCACTAACCAACTGCGCTACGAGCAGGTTGCCCTCTCGGTTTGGATCGGCAATATGCAGCGGTAGGGGGCGCTCACCGTTCGTTCTTGTGGAACTCACTCGATCCGATAAGACCAACGGGACTCCATCGAGCCCAACTAGAAATACTGCAAAGCGTCTGATCCAAATTCTGTAGAACCAGTTGCACCTGGCTTCACATCTCAGAACATTTAGGCCAGATTTGAATATTACGCGTTAGTGGTATAGAAGTAGCCGAAATATTCATTGTGGTATCTCATGCAATTGCCGAATTTTCTTCTGAAACAAAAAACTTTTCTTAATCGGTCATGTGACGTGGCGGGTCGGAAAGCGATGTACTTCAACTGTTTGCTGACGCTAGAAATCTTCAATGGCCTTTCACATTAAACTTTATGGATATGCGAAAAAGAGACACTGCTAGCTCGCATACATGGAAGAGGCGAAGGTGACTGGAAGACCACAAATATATCCGGTATATCACCTCCTAAATTAAGGACTTGTGCTTCTTTATCAAAAAACAATAAAACACGATATGTGCGCTGACACATGAAATGTTAGCCGAAATACTGAAATGCATTTTGGACTCAAACATGTTGCTTAAATAGGGGTCTTAATTTTAATTAACGCGCAGCATAATAGGTAGTTATTTTAGTAATTTGGGGTTCTGACTTTCGAAAGACCTTTTTTGTCGGCCTGCAGATGGACATTGTACATATCGTTATTTTTTGAAAATTTTGTTATTATTTTCCCTTAGAACTGAGGTTTTTTTTAACTTAAAACAAACTCTCAATTCGCGCTCTTTTGGCTAACCAGACACCCGAAGCAAATGAAGTCAAAGTGCAGTTGAAATTGACGAGTTTGTTTTAGGTTTTTTTCCTGAGTTCAAAGGGGACTGACAGTGCCCAAGGGGCGCTACAATAAACCTATTCTATTCTATTCTATTCTATTCTATTCGGACCCCAGAGGCAGGCAAGGGTACGTTTGTGTCAGGCTGCCACAACTCCTTCTTAATGAGGCCTCCATGGCGCAAACTCCCCAATGAATTCGAACCCATCCTTTCCTCCAGGTTCTTATAGGAAATCCTGGTCAGCGTCCGTTGTGCACCATCAAATGTGGTGGTGCGTCAAGGTTCGGGTTTACGCCGCGCGAGCCACCTGCATCCAGTCACGCCTTCGACCTTCTTGACTCTGCCTTGGCAGTATGCCCAGCTAGGTGGGAGGAGGAGAGAGTGCGGTAGACTCATCGGAAGTGCGCTATCTCTTTAAAAAATGCAAGTTTACGCCTAGCGAACAGATCTCTTCCGTACAACTAGTGGAACCTCGCTCCAGATTGGCCGACGGTAGTACAACAGCCCGAGACTGTGGAACCAAACATTACTGCTCCACCATTGGCTCAGATGGCGAGCGAGCGTCAAAGGTAATTAGGTTTTCTAACTCCAATCCCTCGGCACAACTATGTTAAATGCCTTTGGTTTTGTGTTTCAAACAGATTTCGGGGTTTCCAGACTAAACGGCCAATCGATTCTTTGTTTTCATCAAAAACCAATAGGCAGTGTCAAACAACGTCAGAAAATCGGCAAAAGACGCGTCTAGACTTCAAGTTAATAACTCTGTCAGGATAACGGTGTAATACGTTTGTCGTCTAGCGGTACAGCAGTGAGAAGGTGTGTTTTCTGTGAGCTACAATTATCAAGTCCAAACCCATTTTGGAAGGAGAATACGAAGGGTACTAGAAGGATGGTTTTATTGTGCACAGAACCCGGACTTGCTATCTCAGGCTGCAGTGGTCACTGGCGAAGCCAGGGCTGGTGTTGACTGCGTCCGGTTATGTCTGAGAGTCCTTGAGATAGTGGTGGCAGCCGCCTCTGAAGGCTCGTGGGCCATGCTCAAGTGGTGGCGGGTCAGTGTGTGCTGCAGTTGCCGGCGGATTGCCCTCTAAACAGGCCACGTCTTAGATGCGCAGGACCAACACGGGGGCCACATCGGATTCTGGCAGGCGTTATCTGTGCGCAATAACAAATGCCAACAGTTGCGGGGTGCGCTGGCGGACCCTGTTGTAGGCATTCGTCGCTCAACTGGACCACTTCCGCCACCCCATTGTTTTGTGGTTGAAATCCTGGTCATTTGTGTGTGGACCAGGGGGTGCGGAGTGGAGCGCCAACGTGAGGATCCGTCCGAGCAATCCCCCTGCGGCCTCTCCCGTCTCCGGTCTTCTTTACTCTGTCTTGACACCGGGCTAAGGCGGGGAGGAGGAGAGAGTGTAGGTAGATGCCACGCAAGTCTACTGGCACTATAAACCCCTGCGTAAGTCACCGTCCCTGCTCCCACAATGCAGTCTGTGGGGCACACGGTGGACATCGTCGAAATCGACGGTCCAACTGTCGTGTCGACGGGTGGTGTCCCAGTGGCTTAGGTTGCGGTTGCAGGGAGTGGCGCGTTCAGGTGGCGCATGGGCGGCCGCGAAGCTGTGTGGACGCAATTGTGTTCGAGCTGAAGTCTGTTGAGCGGCTTTAGGTCAGCGCGTCCGCAACGGCTTGCTGCAAGGGGTGAATGACCTTGAGACAGCGATGCCTGGAACAATGACGCCAGACCGGTCATAATGGCCACAGCTCCCCGCCAGATACAGAACAAAGTGATGGTGTCGATTGTGAAGCAGACGATGACATGTGTGAAAACTATCAAATGCGCATGCGGGTTTACGAGCGTGTGTCGATGATGATGATGATGATGATGATGATGATGATGATGATGATGATGATGATGATGATGATGATGATGATGATGATGATGATGATGATGATGATGATGATGATGATGATGATGATGATGATGATGATGATGATGATGATGATGATGATGATGATAGGAGTAACTCGTAGTGCGTATGATAGGGATGTTGCGACCTGTGCAGTTGAGGCATGAACCATGGGTGCTGGCGTAGTCTCGTCAACGTGTGCCGGTGGGTTGGCACTTTGCTAAGTAAATGAAGAATGTTTCGGACACTATGCATCTCAGTGAGTGCTGAGTTGGACCAATGCGTCACTGAAATAGGCTCACTGTCATCATGACACATCAACTGCGATAGGATGAATGCAGTGTCGAAATTTTAAAAATCAATCCCTGTATATACGGTAGCATGTTCAGCGTATGCAAGTAACTCACGAATGGCGGTCTCGTCGTTAATGGGCGGAAGAATGTCTCGGACATGGGAGAGACGTTTAGATGGCAACACATTTGGAGGTCTGATCTGCACAGTATGATTGGTCCTTGAACCGGACTTGTATGGCTGAGTTTTGTTCATAGCATACTTCTGGAATCGCGACAGGGTGACGACAGACGCGTTTTCCTATTTGTGGACGCGATATGTGACGCAGAAAAAATATCAGGGCGAAGTCGAGTGGGAATTTTGTGGAAGTTGACTTTAGCCACGTCTGGAGATTGCGGGTCGATCACATCAGGGTTTTTCACCAAATTATGCTGACTAATCGGCGAGAGAAAGTGCTCTGAGCCCCGGACCGGTCATGATGGCTGGCCGCCTTATTCATATACATTTCATACTATTCGCATTTTCGCTTCAATTGACAGTATTTTCGGGCGCGAAGCGCCACTGTTAGCAAGAGGGTGTGAAAAATTTGCCGCTAGTTTGTCCATAGCGTACGCGTAACTCGAATCGCTCCATGTATGCCTCGACCAGCGTCTGCTGCCGAAAAGCCTATCCCAAAAGCTTCCGGTAAACACAAGGCTAACGAAGCAATGTGTGATGCAAAATAGTGAGGAATGACTCGTTTACTTATCCAGGGCTGTCATTTACGACTGCAAAATTGCCGCAGGCTTGGGCTATCGCAATACAGTCGTGCAATCCTGCAGTGCCTAGCTTACGGCCGGATGCTGAAGCACGTGACCAATCGGAATCTGCGAGCACAACCAAAGATTGTAGATGGATTCTATCATCTGAATCTCCAATGCCGAATCACATGACTCAAGTGCTTACATTGGGACATGGCTGCGATGACACAGTGACGCGCTGTCTGTCAAATGTAGGACACGGGTGAGTTTTTTGCGTTAGCCAGTGTTCGAAAAGGACTTTACCCCTCATGCTGTGGCCGTGAATGGATACGCTATTGGTGTTGGCAATATATCCCTGTTTATTACCATACTAATTCAAATCCTACAGCACTTTTGAATATGTTTTTGACCAGGAGCCTTCCACGGGTAAAGATAGGACTACCTACATTTTTTGCAAGACTAGGCACTCTTATAGTTGCACGGGAAATCCGATGCAACGATAGGTCTTTGAAAAGGGTGGCATGCAAACCGCCTTTCTCTCGTGCCACTGGAGTTTACTGGCATCTTGTCGCTGTCGATTCAACAGTACTCTCGCTTTAGTTGTTTGTGTCAGTTGCGAACTGCTTTGACCTGTCCTTCACCAATTCTTTCCACTATTGCGCTAAATCGTTGCTTAACGTATGTTCGTTCAAACCGCCATCCCCAACTATCTTTACATCTCGCTGTCAGGACGAATAAAAGTGTCGTTAGTTGCTTAGGATCACTCCACTTAATTGGGCCTTGGAACAATTTGGACTGCATGAAGCCGTCATGACGCTGGACACCGAATTCGATTTTCTTACACTTGACAACAGGTTACAACTTCCTAACCTTAATGCCCACACCAGCTATCAAAAGCTCTACCTTTCGAGTAAAACAAAATGTAAATCGTCTCGTCTTTTCTTCCAACTTGCAGCTTTAAGTCACTTCTAAGATTTTAGACAAAATGCGGGCAATGCCGTCAAGGATACCTCACGCATATCTTTGTGTTTGCAGGAAGTTATCTTGGTCAAGCAAGCACAGGCGAAAATCGACATCAAATTAGTGAAGATGGCGTACGCGTTGCGGTGATGAAGACAGTGACGGTGGAGAATGAGAAGAAAGAGGCCTACAGTCCCTTGTTAAAATGAGTGTGGCAGTGAAAAATGTGAGATCAACCTAAACTTCTAAGAAATCTCCTTAAGCCTTATGTCGGAAGTCAGGGAGCTGTGGTAATAGTGCAGGTTGTCGTAAGTTGGCTGTTTGCTTGTGATAAAGCTACACCTTTGTTCACGGAGAGCGTCTGTCGCGGTGTGTAGTTTACGCGGAAGTGAATGCCTGCGCCAGCAGGATGGGTTGACTAGTTGAGTGTTGGTTGGTCACCCGAATAGGGGAGGAGTGAGAGGGTGCATACTCACAAGGGCTCACGGTTATGCATCCAGAGCGTCCGACCACGTGAGGTTACGAAAGATTGTGGGGGCAGCCGAAGACACTACAGAGGACAGAAGGTGCTCACTTCTAGCCGGCGGGGGTGGCTGTGTGCCAACGACATGTCAGCGATTGTCGCGATCATTGATCGACAAAATGGAGCCGGAGAAGGGGGGACTGGAGTGGCTGCTACAGGATCTTCCCGCGAAAACAAAAGCCTTAGTGGAAGGACATTAAGTTCTATCGCCTTATACTCGAAGAATCTGAATAAGGCAACATCTGTTCAGGGGAGGTAAGTGTTAAAACTATTGATAGCTCTCTACTGCACGTGATGTGTAAAAGCATAATTATCGGGTTACCAGCGTAGTCACACCAAATCCTGTGCCCGCAATATTTGTTCGTTGAAGCTCTAGGGCGGTTCTGATCCAGTCTCAGCCTCGCCTGTGTGTATGCGCGCTCTGACATGTCGACCTACACCGACAAGCCATAATCACTCGCAGATTTCCGCTCCTTCATTCCTAATGCTTTTTGATGGCGCAAAATTGTCTCGTTTTGAGCATGACTGAACGCCTTCGACCTGTCCTCCCTCACGACTAGTCTATATTAATTGCTTTCAGGAATACTTGCTATGCGTATATTACTCAGATCTATATACGAGATCCTTGGCAATTAATCGGAAAAGTGTAATTGCCGAATTTCAGTTCTTTAATGTTGGTATAAATATCATCGCGTAACTAACAAACAACAATCGTCAATTATAAAAACTCTCGGCATGCCACCTCCACTCTCAGTCATTACTCCGCTAGCAGTTTGATCATAACGCATGCTTGCAGCTCACTGCACCTACGCAGTATTGGCGTTTGGACTACGACGCGGTGGTATGAGGTTGCGCCAAACAGATTTAAATGTTGGCCTAAGAGGTTATACTTAGGTCATGTATTTTCATTCGAATGCTTCCATATGTTTCCGCGTTGATCTTATTTACCCAGGTATATTACATGTCTTTCATTTAGTTTCCAATTGTTCACCTTTCATACACTTTACAAGGCGAACAATGTTACAGGAGACTATAAATCATGTCGCCGAACCCTAAGGAAATTTCCACTCATGCTCTTTGTGGCAGATAATATGAGCGCACTTTCATTAATTATACCTTACAAAGATCATGAAATTAGTCGTGACTTTTCAGATATTAATTCCACCTGTTTTATAGGCTTCGGATCTATTTTCTTTGCTCGTTCTGTAGTTTCTTCTGTGAACATGTCCAAGAAACACTATGTTCATGTGTTACTCAGGTTTGGATGCTTCTGCGATATAACAGGCACTGAACGTCTTGGATCACATAGCTCCATATGTAACCAGAATCTTTAAAAAATATTAGGAAACATGCTTCTTAAACGGTCTATGAGACGCCAAGATTCACAGCACAGAAGCATTGAATGATACAACACTGTCTATGTGGTTAGATTTGGAGGTTTAAGTCAAGGCCGGTACTCAGTCGCACCTTCGTGTACCCTAGTCCTATTGAGCGAACGTTTTTAAATATTTCCTGCAGCATAAGCTTCAAATGCGGTTTAAGGTACTGCAGCAACAGAAAACGGATTAGGATCTGCATGTTTTCACAGACTTTCGCTCGACTTCAAGCGGTTTGCTAAGGCTTAATCGGCTCCTTCTCCTCCGTACCTCAGTCATCACTCGGCACGAGTGGCTAACCGACTGAATCGGTGTGCATCATCCGCAGTGCACTTAAGTCAAATGCGTTTTTGCTGCGTCGCCTGCACGCCTTTACCTGCAGCCAGCCAAGTCGTGGATCAACAAAACCGCTGAGACCCGTTTATTCTCCGCATCAACAATTTGGCGACTAGATAGGCAGACTACCACGGGTGGGGTCACAGTGCCTGATAAAACTATACCTGGCGTCAGCCATTTTATGGATCGTGAGTTTTCTATTGATGCTGGGGAGTGCAGAATGTGTCACGTGTGTTTTTCTGAGCCACCAACGTACCTTCGCCTGCAACCAGCCAAGTTGTGAATCAACGAAACCACCGAGCACCTTCTCCCTTACGCATCAGCATTTTGGAGGCTAGGTGGAGGCAGACTACGGAGCAAGGGGTGAGCGTGTGAGAGAAAAACAAATTTTGACGTTTGCGATTTTACGGAGCGTGATTTTTTCATCGACGCGATAGCACGGTAGCTTTAGATGTTCCTGTGCTTAGCGTTTCATTAGAACTGTTTTTGAAAATTATCACCTTAAGAAAACATCGTGGATTTTCCATTGAAACCAAAGAAATGACAAATTAATTTTAACGTTGAAACACGTTAATATTTCTGCCTTATATGCTTCGGCAAACACATATTGCCAGATGAGGCTATGATTTGTGTTTTTCATCTGGTGTATAACTTGTCGATAATCCGTAGTTTGCATTCGGTTCATCGTCCATTTCCTAAGATTTGATAAATTTACTGTCCTGTAGAGTCTGCTCTATTTTTCCTAGGAATGTATGTCGTAGTCTGCAGCCAATCTATTAACGGCCTATTGATGATGAGAAATGATGCTGGTGCCAATTAGCATGAAACTGCCCATATTTCTCCAAATTCATCGATTAGATGCTGGAGATCGCGGAGTAAAACACAAATTAGACGAGAA